TACTAGATGGACTGAAATCTCAGAGGACTTCTGCTTTGATTTCAGAAGCATCTCTTTCCATAACCTCGCACAACTAGATAAGCTGCAGGGGAAGAGCAGTCTGGTGAGGGTAAGTAGACTCTGGAATCAGTCAGAGTTGACATGGAGTCCCAGCCTGGTCACTTAGTAGCTAGTTGTGAGGCTTTGGATAAGTTTCTTGACTTGCAGCAGTTATACAAACCTTGTCTGCAAGAAAAGGCATAATGAGGGTGATTGCAAAGACATCAGTGATTCTTCATTCCTCTCTGTATACGTGCCCTTTGCAATGTGTTTTTTCTGTGCAGGTGCGCAGGAGCGAAGATGAGAGCAGGTGGCTCTAATGGAGCAGAGAAACATGATTCACCATGATTCAGTGCTTTTCCAGAAAGCTGGAAAAACTGATCTTAGAACAGGGTCTCTGTCCTGTATTGATGTGCTTTGTCTTAGCCCTGGGGCACCTCTGGAGTTTCTTCCTTCCTATTTCCTGCCTCAAGGCCCAGAGCTAGGCAGGGACCAGTTTGTCTAAGCTTTTATACTACTGCAGTGAGAAACCAGTAGCGGGTTTAAGTAGGGAGTGGGTGGCATATATCATGTTTTTCATGTTTTCAAGAGATTACTCTGGATACTGAGTGGAGAGTGGAATGTAGGGGGGCAAGACAGGAAGCTGGGAGATGGTCAGGAGGCTGTGTTTAGCAGACCAGAAAGAGAGGATGGTGGCTGGTACTGATTGTAGGAATGGAGAGAATGAGCAGAGGCTTCAACCAGGATGCACAGTACAGGCAAGCCAATGAGGGACTGCAGAAGGGGGAAGAGTCAAGCATGACTCCCTGGGGCTTGCCCCACGGAAGAGAACCAGGCATTTTTCAGCAGACCGTTGTATTGAAAGCTGTGAGACTGTTGTGAAAGAGAACAGAGGCCAGACAGGAAAGAGAAGGGGGCTGAGGATCCCCAGAGATCTAGGGAAGGAAGAGAAGTAGGAGAGATGGGAGGAAATCCAGGAGAGGGGAGTGGGTCTCAAAAGTCCAGAAAAAAGTGATTCAATTTACCCAAGAGATTTGCTCTCTAATCAGGTATGGTGAAGCATGCATGTTACAGGGTGCAGCCAAGAGGGGGGACCCCAAATGGGCATTTGAAATGGGGTCCAGAACTTAAGATGTCCAGGAGATTTTAAGATGTCTCCAACCCCCCCCCCCCAGGGTGTGGGTTGGGGGAAGGGACAAATGGAGCAGGACCATTGAGAGCTGTTTTGCAGCTAAGCTCTGGCGTGGTCATTTAACATATCTATAGCCTTTGGCTGGTCGTTTAGATATGTTAAATAGCTGTGATCATCTCTGAGGGCGGAGGGGGGGGGAATGGAAGTAACTTCCCCACCAACACGTGACTGGGGGCAGATCCCCCAGGCTACAGCACCTGCGTGGGAGCTCAGAGAAGATTGGCTCCAGGACATGGGGCCACACCTGCCCAGACTCATGATGGCAGCCCAGTAAAGCTGGAAGGATATGAGTTCTGGCATGTGAAGCGGAGTGTGGGAGGAGTCGGAAATGAGGCTGCAGAGGAAGATTGGCCGAGGGGATTTAAAACCCAGACTTGGCGGCCATTAAAAAAGAGAACCACGCGGCTTTGGGAGAGTGGGGGCTCTCCCCTTCCCGCAGCCCTGAGAGAGAGAACTATGAGTCTTTAGCAGAGTGGAGACTCCCGCATCCCAGAGAGAGAGAACCACGAGGCCTGGACGGAGTGGGGACCCCCACAGCTTTAGAAGGGGGAACCACCACCTGGTTTTAGCAAAGATCCTGGCGACTCAGCTGAGGGTGTCGGGAACCCAGGGAGGTCTCCCAGTCGAGAAGGAAGACTAAGAACCAGAGGACTGTCTGAGCCATGGACTTCGTTTTCCTTCCCTGAAATATGGTACTCTGGACTGGGCAAAGGGGGAAGGAAGGAAGGACTGTGTCTGTTTGTGGGTGTTTTGGGGGACTTTGGGGTTTTTGATAAAGACATTAGGTCACTACTTGAAGTTTGTATAGCATTAAATAAACATTTCCTTTTCACGGATCTCTGGCATTGAGAGATGTCTTTCCTCAGGCGGCGGACATGATGGACCTGGGGGCCTTTTAAATAATAGTATATCGTCCCAGGCCCCCCCACCCCTTGTTCTATTCTGTAACATGCAGACACTGAAATGACTGTCATGAAGAAGTTTTTACTCACAGTTCTCTAGAAACAGGTGGCATAGCAGGCCACACAGGGCCACCTGAGTCAGTCAGGAGGCAGAGGGAGTGAGGGAAAACCTTACTCTGGGAAGACATGCGAGAGGCAGGGTAAACAGATTAAGCAGGTTTGGGATTAGCTAATTGCAACAATTTCAGTTTCAATTGCAGCTAATTTCAGTAAACTCTGGAATACAGGGGCTATCCCCAGTGGTCTGGTACCTGGCCTTGGGGTAATGAGGTCATGGGGATATTATCCTGGAGTGTAACAGCCTACAGAAGAGGTGTGGCAGGGTGTGGGCTCTGGATTGGTTAGTTTGCAAATGAAAGGCATGCTCACAACCCTGGAAGTTCTCTTCCTAGTTATCAAGACTCCTGATGCCAGAGCATCAGAAAATAAGAAAATACAGGGAATGCAAGGAAGAAGTGCTCAAATGTAGCCTCTGTGTCAAACGCAACTAAAAGATTGAGTGAGATAAGAGCAGAAACTTGCTTTGCATTTGGGCAACACTACTACTTCTCAGTAAAGTAGTGCTGAGGAAAGCTAGAATGGAATGGGTCCAGGAGCAAAGATGAGGACAGGTGGCTCTAATGGAGCAGAGAAACAATGGTAAATGCAAGGTATTTTTGTTTAATGTACCTTAGGGCATGCTTTTGTATGCTGATAGAAATGGCCCAGGGAGTGGGGGGAAATGAATGATATTGGCGAGGAATCAGTACAGGCACAGAACTCTGGGAAGGTAGGCTGAAAGGACTCCTCAGCCCTAAATATACTTGAAGCTACAGTTTTTTTGTTATTGTTGTTTTTTAAGATTTTTACTTATTTCCTTTCTCAAGAGAGGGGAAGTGGTGGGGAGAAAGAGAGGGAGAGAAACATCAACGTGCAAGACACATCCATCGTTTGCCTCTCCCCACCCTTAACTGGGGACCTGGCCCACAACCCAAGCATGTGCCCTGACTGGGAATCATACCAGTGACCTTTTGGTTCTCTGGCTGGGATGCAATCCACTGAGCCACACCAGCCAGGGTAAAGCTATAGTTTTAAGCTATAAAATAAGTGGGATTTTTGTTTTCTATTTTGTAATATGGGCAAACTCCACAGAACAAATCCTCAAGTAATATTTCCCTGGAAAGACACCTCTGAGTTTTGAATACCCAAAATGCATAATGTAGCATCCAGCAAACTCGAGAACAAATATCAGAGACTTTCAGGGTATCAAAGATGTTACTTTATTGGCCAAGTTTAACCTGCGCAGGGGCGAACTCTTAAAGTGTCCAGCGACACAGTGCCCACAAGGAGCTGCAAACGAGAGCCGCGCCGAGTGCTTACAACTACATTCTTATATATGGGCAGGCAAGCAAGCGTTATACAGAAGCAGACGTGGCAGTTAGTAATTCGCTTACAAAGACCGCGCGCGGGAATTTCAAACCAAGCATTCTTTCATAAGGCGGGAAGGCAAGATGTTTGTTCATTAACCTAGTAATCTCCTGGCTCTAGCTAGCTAGTTTTCTATTTTCTCATTAAAAACTACAAAGCACTGCTTATCTAGCCTACCCAGGGGAGAGCGTCTGCTAGACACGGGATGTTTGCTTTAACTGTACTTTGTCTCTTTTATCATTTCTTTTTAGCTATAATGTGGTTCTTGTCTATTAAGGTTAAATTTAGTTCTTAATTTCCTTGTTCCCAACACATAACAGGTATTTATCTCTCAATACCTATTTTCAGCTGATGTTTATAAATATAAACTTTATATTGAGCCTTAGAAACTTAATAAAACATTTTAAATGGAATTGCTTGGTAGAGAAGTTTCCAAATACAATTGGTAGGCCACCAAAATCACACTAGTCATTTATCCAATGTCACTGCTTTCCAAGAGGCCACTACTACTTAACTGTGAAGTGACCAAGAAGCAATGTTTTAAGCATTTTACACCCTAATACAATATTTGTAAGTTATGTCTACATGTCATATTGTGATTTAGGAAATTGGTAGAGTTTTGCAATTGACTTGCTGTTCCTTATAATTTTTCCCATTTAAAATAATGAGAAATAGGTTTTTCTTAGCATTTTCTTGGAGACAGTCTGACATTTCGAGCACAAGTTCCTGACAGTAACTGCCAGGTGACTTTCCAGCTTTGTCTTAGTTTTAAATTTGTTAATACTTACTATGTAAATTATTTAACTTCAGTTCTTCCAAATTTTATAGTAAAGTTAGTGCTCCAGAAAGTTGTACCACAGATATTCTACTGCATGCATCCTCTCCGCACAGAACTGGGGCTGTGCATACTCCAGTCTGAGAAGCGTGTAGTGACATAGTAATAGTTGTCAGAAAAATTAAGTGGAAAATAAATGATCACTGTGACCACCAACAGCAACAAATTATTAAGAGGTTCCGGAAGGATATTGTAAAAAAGGTCTTAAAAGTGGTCCCCAAAGCCTCTTATTGTAGGGCTGGAAACAGAAAGTGTACTACCTTCCTAGACAAACTTCCTTAATATTTTGTGAAGAACCAAGACGGGTGGGGCGTGGGGTGCGCTCACAGGGAGGATTTATGGTAAGAGACAGCAGCTGAGAGGAATAGAGGGCTTGGCGAGAAAGGTGGCTTTCAAAAGGCAATTTCCAGGTTCCCAGGACCCGAGTATCAAATGTCCATCAATGAGCTTCTTCAGGGGTTCCAAAGAAGCCTGCCCTGGCCCATTAGCTCCACCCCCACCTGGGAGCGGCCTCAGCCAGTGAGGCGGGGCAAAGAACGGGGGCGGGGCAAGGAACGGGGGCGGGGCAAGTGGAAGGGACGGGGCGGACACGCGGCGCTCCTGGAGGGTTTGCGTAGGGCAGGGCCATGGCCACACTTCGCAGGCTGCGAGAGGTACCCCGGCACTTGCTGGTCTGCGAGAAATCCAACTTCGGCCACGACAAGTCGCGCCACAGGCATCTCGTGGAGACGCACTATCACAACTACAGAGTGAGTCCGGCCGTCTGGGCCCAAGAGCCGGAGAGGGTTGGTAGAGCCACGCGGTGGCTTGGTCGGCCTCCTCGCCGGGGTTGCTGGGAAGTGTTGTCTTTTTACCGTTCGGAGCCAGTGGTTTGCAGAGCTGCAGGACTACAACTCCCAGGACACGCCGGGTGCGGGGCGGTTTGCTCCCGGCCTGTTCCAAACACCGCTGGCGGGTTATTCCCGTTCCTTCCCCGACCCAGGTGGAGTGCATTCGGGAGAGGGGCACGGGCGGGAGTGGAAAGTTAAGAGGGCGTGATCCAAGCAAAGGATTGTTGCCGGCCGGCCGCTTACAACTTATTTTTGCTCCATATCGAAGTCAGACTCTCGCCCACTCTCCAGCACTTAATTCCTTGTCCCACTCGCCTGTGGGTCTTTCACAGCATCATGCCGAGTCCAGGCCCAGGAAACCACTTGCTTTTCTAGACAGCTTATGGAAACTTGCTACTTCGCTTGCCTGCTGTTTTCTGTGTCTCCCAGGCAAAATGCGCTATTTCTGCAGCTTTGGGGAGAAGTTTGGTGTGGTGGCCCTGCTGGCAAGCATAAGAGCTTTTAGGGGTTGGTAGCATTGGCTGTTGCTTCTTGAAAATGTCACCCCCATGGAGTGCCTTCTTCTCAGATGTGGAAAGTAGAGGCATCAATGACGTTAATTATTGGTTTATCCAGGATTTGCTGAGAGTACGGGAGAACAACTCAAATTCTTGGTCAAGTGTCTAGTAGACTGTATTCACCAACAAGTTTAAATGGCAACGCCTCCAAAGAATTAAACTTTAAGATAGTAATGATTTAAGCCTTCAACACGTTAAATTGATCAATTTAATCTTCCTAATCTTCCCTGAGGCCTGATTGGCTAATGTTTCAGAGACCCAAGTGCTGACCCTGATCCTTGGAACAGACTGGTGTTCAATCTTTGGGAGAGTGATTTTCAAGGTGTGGAACACTTGGGGCACGCGTGAAACTGTTAGGTTTAACAACTCTGCTTTGGATGGAAAGCTCACCACTGACAGGATGTGCCTTAAAGTGCCAGGTCTGATCTGTAGAATTTTTTCTGTTTATAAAGTAGAAGATCCAGGAGCCTTTATGCTTCAGAGTGACTTTTAATAATTGATTCTGAAGGGATAAATTCCTTATGTCCTAAGGGACAATTCCTTTGATTCAAGCCTGGTACTGGGATAAACAAATAGAGGGATACACAATTGTCCTATATTTTCCTAAAATTTAACTAGAGTAGTAAAAGGGACAGGACATAAATATATAGCTTATTTATAAAAGATAAAATATTAACAAGACCTTTCCATTAAACTTTTCTTGCTCATTCTCTTTCTGGCACTGTATATTTGAATGCAGAAATGAAAAACTTGTCATATTTTTCTTTTCATGAGATTGGTAAGTTAGTTTATAAGAGCTTTGTAGAAACCTGTGGAGGAATAGTTAGCAGCCTTCATGATGTTATATCATCCGTAAAAACCTGGGTGTTGATCTATATGAAAAATAAGACCTGTTATATTACACATTCCAATAGGTTTCATTTCTGATTCCTGAATGTGGAATACTACCTAAAGAACTGAAAAACCTGGTTACAGAAACTGGACCCTATTACTTTGTGAAGAATTTACCTCTTCATGAGTTAATTACACAAGAATTCATCAATACATTTGTAAAGAAAGGTAAGAAAACTGTGTGGTGTCTGTGAACGTGGCAAGATAAGGAAGTATACTTAGATCACTTTACAATACAAGGGTTCTTGTTTTAAGTAGGGCTTATGGAGATAGTCTGTGTGGTCAAGTGTGTGCGTCACTCTCTCGTCCACAAGTGTTGCATGGGGATGCTGTAACAAAAGGGTACCCCTCATCTTAAAACAGGATTGATGAAGAGGAAATCCTTTTGATCCATGTATTCAGATATAGTGTTGTTGGATATGTGGCTGCAAAGAACTGTGCTCTCAGTAGTTTGCACAACAGCTACCTCAGAAGATTGATTTCCTGAGGCAACACAGCAGCTGTTTACGGAGATGGGTACTCGTGGTTTGACGTCTTAGATTTTAGAACTCTCACCCTCCTCTGCTCTCCTCATTCCTATTAATATCTGCTGGGTTGATTGATTTATTCCAGTTGTTTCCTGGGAGCCACTTGTTCAAAACTGTTTCTTGGAAAGTCTTTGGGGATCCCACCCTAACTGCATAAGTTACTATATTTATAAGTAAGCCACTTACTTAATCTTATAGAACCCTTGTTTGTCCTCTCCAGTAGAGCTGTGAAGAATCCTAGTTACTTGGAGCTTCTCTCATTCTGATGTTGCTGGGGATGCTTATGAAGCTGAATGTTTTGTCTTTGGTCTCATCAACATTATTCCTTTCATCTGTTTCAAAGCTTGATACTACTTTGTTAATAGCATGGACACTAGCTATAGTAGGCACTGTTATATATCTTATCCAATTTAAACCCTTGCAATAACTCTATGCCAGGGGTGTTAAATTCATTTTCACCAGGGTCCACATCAGCCTCATGGTTGCCTTCAAAGGGCCTAATGTAATTTTAGGACTGTATAAATGTAACTACTCCGTAACTGTTAAGTGAGAGTTCGGCACTGCCGCCAGGTAGAAATAAGGTGCTAGGCTGGATAAAACAAGGTGGAGGCCAGATTTGGCCTACAGGCCTTGTGTTTGCAACCTGCACTCTATGCAGTAGGCTTGTGATCTCCATTTTACAGGTAAGGAAATTGAGGCTGGGAGAGATTGAGAAGCTTTAACTTCATACAAGTTCCTGGCACATTTTGAATCTCATCCTGGAACTCTGCTTCTCAGGTGTGTAACACTTACTTAATATTCCACTTTGTGCCTCTCTGCCAGCATCCCCAAGGACACACATTCCATCCTTAGTCCACTTTCTGCCTGATGTGATAGTCAGCTTGCACAAACAGGTCTTGGGCAGGGGATTAACTGTGTGTGGCTTTTCATGTCCTCCAGGTTAACAGTGGCAGGTTTTAGGTTTTTTGAGTGACCTAGAGCAGCAATCTTGAAGATTTATTATCATGTAAAAATAATCCACTAGTATTTTGCAGGTGTGATTTTTTTTCTCTTAATTTCTCTTCTGGGCTTTCTCTTACAGGTTCGTGCTGTGCACTGACATACAATACAAATATCGATGAAGATAATACTGTTGCTCTGCTGCCAAATGGTAACAACTGATTCATTTTTTTCTTCTTTCTTCAATTAAAAATGAAGTGCATGCTGTGAAAAAAAGGTCAAAGCATACAGATATATATAAAGTGAAGGTCCCCTTTCCATCCCCCCTCTTCTAAACTCTCCTAAGAGAAGGAACTGTTGTTAATAGGTTGTGTTCATTCTTCCAGATATTTTCTGTGAATTTATAAACACATGTAAAGGTACTTCTTTTTTAACATGAATTATATCATATTACATTGTTTCTAAGTTTGCTTTTTTTTAACCATATATCATAGACAGCTTTCCATATCAGTGCGTATTGTTCTAAAGTACTATTTTTAATGTTTTGAAGGTATTCCAAGGAAGAGGTATACAATGACTTGTTCATTCCTATTACATTATTATAATTAATATCCTTGTATGTATAGTGTATAAACAGTAGCCTTGTATTATAAATAAGATGTCTGTATGTACAAATAATATTCTTATATTTTAAGTAAAATCCTTTTATGCAATTTATTGCTCTGATACCTAACTACTCAATTTGCCTTGCTTTCTCTTAGTCATAGACATGTCATATTTTGACATTTCCTTTATGGGAATTATTTGATTTATAGGGAAATTAATTTTATCACTTGATAAAGACACTTATGAAGAAACTGGACTTCAAGGTCATCCATCTCGTTATTCTGGTAGAAAAATAATGAAATTTAGTAAGTATTATATTTTCTCCATCAGTTTCTAACAAGGTGGTAATCTTCTCACGACAATTTAAATTTAAATGTTTGAATTGCTTCTATTTTCTTCGTTCAGAAAAAGTATGGGTTTTTCTTGTCTTTAAAGCTTCTGACTCAGAGGGCTCTCAGTTGGGCTTCAGGTAGGATAAAATAATGCCATTTCTTTTCAGCTGTAGGCTGCATCTTAAAAGATCATAGAATTGGCATGGTCCATTAGGTATATGTTTTGGGTCAAAAATTCAAAGTAGTGAACCCAAGGTAAGAGTCCACAACTTTTTCTTAATAAAGATTTCATTTGATCTGCCTAAGTCTTCGTGGTTGCTAGTAAAAACTTACTTCTGCTGGCAGTGTCTGGCTTGGGTATCAGTAGCAAAGGTAGCCACATCCAGAGGGAGATTAGAGTTGACTCTGTCCTTGGTCTTTGACCTAGGAAAAGTATGAATTAAAAAGACCTGTTTTTAGCTCTCAATGCTAGAAATGCCCATTAAAGGCAGAGTTTTGATTTGGTAAAACAAACAGTATAAGAAGAACGAAATAATTTTTACTATCCATAAAGTTTCCAAAAGTTCTGTTTTTTTAATAACAGTACTTTTTCCACAGTGTAATCCAGCTACATATGAATGAAATATTTATTCTTCTTTCCATTTTTTAAGTTATTTCCATTGATCTGATGGACTTATCCTTTAACCTGGATTCCAAGAAGTATAAAAGAATATCTTGGTCCTTCAAAGAGAAGAAGCCATTGAAATTCAATTTTCTTTTGGCTTGGCATCCTACAGGTATGGAGAATAAATTATGAAATAATACAATGGTTTTGAAATCTAATTGTTAATTAAAGGGGAGCAATGGGGAATCAGTGGTGATTTCATCCCTTTAGTCGGGGATATTATATACCTAAATGTGTAAACGTTATTAAGAAAGCTGCTTCGGTCCCTCTCATCCCCCAGAACCGTAGTTCAGGATAATCTGTGCAGGCAGCCATCTGTCTCCATCTTGGGTTATATGTAGATCCAGAGATCTTGAGAGTGGCTTCTGAGCAGCTAACCTTTATCTGTTTCTCCCCTTCCTGCCTCCAGCTTATCTCTAACAGCCTTGGCTGTAATGTTTTAAAATAACGCTAGTCAGAGTTATATATACAAACTGCTTATTTATTATTGCACAGTAATCGGCATGCCATTAGAGGTTAGGTTAAATTTGTTGCAAGTTTTAATTGATTAGGACAATAAATTTAATTCAGAGTTGGATAGTCACCAAACAATCTATTTGTTTGCCATGTCCCTTGCTCCATTTTAGTAGTGTGTTTTTGGCCCATCACAAGATATAATGAATCAGATCACCACAATTCTGATAGTCAGGTCCACTCTTTTGGAAAATAGGGCACACACAGGTCCATTGTGGAAACATGCCCACCTCCCTGCCCCTTATGGGAAGTTTTTGGTCCTTGGGTGCCCTGCGGTTGCCTGTGTGAGTCCAAGGTCTATAATACTTCAGTGCTTCTCCTTGTACTTGTGGTAGAGATACCAGAGGACAGAGAGACAGGCTGTCATTTCAGTCACGTGAAGTGCTTTTTTATTTATTTTTTATTTTTTCTACTGAAAGTTCTTGTTTTTAAATATATTTTATTGATTATGCTATTACAGTTGTCCCATTACCCCCCTTCATTCCCCTCCACCCTGCACACCCTCTCCCACCCACATTCCCCCCCTTAAGTTCATGTCCATGTGTCATAAGTTCTTTAGCTTCTACATTTCTCATACTATTCTTGCCCTCCCCCTGTCTATTTTCTACCTACCATCTATGCTACTTATTCTCTGTACCTTTTCCCTTCTTTCCTCCTCCAACTCCCCTGCTGATAACCCTCCATGTGATCTCCATTTCTATGGTTCTGTTCCTCTTCTAGCTGTTTGCTAAGTTTCTTTTTTGTTTTTGTTTTAGGTGTGGTTGTTAATAATTGTGAGTTTGCTATCATTTTACTATACATGTTTTTTTATCTTCTTTTTTCTTAGATAAGTCCCTTTAACATTTCATATAATAAGGGTTTGGTGATGATGAACTCCTTTGACTTGACCTTATCTGAGAAGCACTTTATCTGCCCTTCCATGCTAAATGAAAGCTTTGCTGGACAGAGCAATCTTGGATGTAGGTCCTTGCCTTTCATGACTTGGAATACTTCTTTCCAGCCCCTTCTTGCCTGCAAGGTCTCTTTTGAGAAATCAGCTCACAGTCTGATGGGAACTCCTTTGTAGGTAACTGTCTCCTTGTCTCTTGCTGCTTCTAGGATCCTCTCCTTCATTTTTACCTCGACTAATGTAATTATGATGTGCCTTGGTGTGTTCCTTCTTGGGTCCAACTTCTTTGGGACTCTCTGAGCTTCCTGGACTTCCTGGAAGTCTATTTCCTTTGCCAGAATGGGGAAGTTCTCCTTTATTATTTGTTCAAATAAGTTTTCCACTTGTTGCTTTTCCTCTTCCCCTTCTGGTACCCCTATAATTCGGATGTTGGATGGTTTAAAGATGTCCTGGAGGTTCCTAAGCCTCTCCTCATTTTTTTGAATTCTTATTTCTTCATTCTTTCCTGATTGTATGTTTTTTTCTTCCTTCTGGTCCACACCATTGATGTGAGTCCCAGTTCCCTTCCCATCACTATTGGTTCCCTGTACATTTTCCTTTATTTCACTTAGCATATCCTTGACTTTTTCATCTAATTTGAGACCAAATTCAACCAATTCTGTGAGCATCCTGATCACCAGTGCTTTGAACTGTACATCTGATAGGTTGGCTATCTCTCGGTTGCTTAAAAGTACTGGTTGTGAGGCTTTCAATTCTGTTTGAGCCATCTCCCCCCCCTTTGGTCTGGTTGAGCCTGTTACATCTGAGGGGCATAGCCTTAGGTGTTCACCAGGGCGGGGCACCCCAGTTGTTGAGTTGTGATGCTGTATGTGGGGGCGGGGTCTGGGAGGGAACAATGGTGCTTGCTTTGCTTTCTGTCGGACCTCAGTCCCTTCTGCTGCTTCCCCCAAGCAAACTGGTCCCCTCTGGTGACAATTCTGGTGTGGGTGGGCTTGTGCACCCTGTGGGACCCTCCAAGGACCTCTCCTGTGAGGCTGGGAGTCTCTCCCTGCACCACAACCCCCACAGGTGTTTTCAATCAGTGTCCTGAGGCTCTATTTCCCAGCACTGGGACCCTGGGCTGCTCACGGTGACTTCACGGTGAAGTAAGCTGGCTGCTGACTTCACGGTGAAGTAAGCTGGCTGCTTACTTCACAATCGCTGCCTTGCTGGGTCTGCCAGTTGCCACCCCTAGGCCGGGGTCTGCTAGCTGCTGCTTGTGCGCTCAGGGTCCACCTGCTACAGTCTTGCGCGCCCCGGATGGCTTATGCACCTGGTTACAACTCTGCTCTCTGAGCCGCGACCTGCACCTGGCTGCCCGACTCTGCCCCTTCTACCAGTCTGGATGAATGGGTCTATTTTAACTTCTTGGTTGTCTGACTTCCATACAGTTCAATTTTCTGTCGGTTTTGGTTGTTACTCTGTTTCTAAATTGTTGTCGTCTCTGTCTTGGTTGTGCGAGGAGGCGCAGTGTGTCTACCTATGCCTCCATCTTGGCTGGAAGTCTCACTCATGTGAAGTCTTCATTGAAGGCCATGTATGCTTTGGGTTCTGGAGGACTCTGTGTTTCTAAGATTCCTAATTATTTTAAGGAATTGTTAGGAACTATGAAAGTTCTGTGATTTTACCCTCTTGTAAGCTAAGAAGTTAGCCTGCACAGTCTCACGGATGCTGGCATAAGATTTGGGTCAGAGACAGAGAACTTTATTACTGAAAGCAGTATCAGTGGCTAGAGTATCAGCATTTGCACCAGTCCACCAAGTGCTAATTCTTACATGGAGAGACACAGTGGGCCAAGTGATGCTGGCACATACATGTTGCACAAAAGGAGACTGGAGCTTAAGGAACTCAAATCTTTCATATTGGGCAGTAAGCCTGCTGACCTTTGCCCTGGAGGAAGGGAGACATTATTTCCTTCAGACTGAACAGTAACAAAGCCTGCCATTTGCTCTGGATGGGGCCACTCTTTCTGTCTTCCAAGGCTGTTGGAAAATCCTTGAAGATACACTGAATTACTGGATTCAGAGACAAGGTTGAATGTGATTCTATCATCATTCAGTTCTTCTTCTCTTTCTTTTATAGAGATTGTGGAAATATGTTCCTTTTTCTGTAGAATTCACTTGTTTGTACATAAGCAATGCTTTCAGTCTTATTTAAGTTGAAATTTTCTTATTACAGCAAATGATGAAATTTGTATAAGTTGAATCTGGAAGTGTTATGCTTTTCTGAAGAAAGTGTGAAAGAAGAGGAATGTTTGCGGAACTTTGGCACAAGGAACTGAAAGCAATTTAAATTATTTTAATTGAATATAGCTTTGCACAACTTCCTTCTATCTTAATCCTACCTGTGTCCCATAACTCTCAGATGGGATGGGGTAGTTTTAGGGATTTATGGAACTTGTTTATAATATTCAAGTGGCCATATATGGTTTGTTTTAAGGTGTGGAAGAATCAACGATGATGTCCTACTTTTCCAATTATGGAATTCAGGAGCATCAGCCAAAAATAGCAGTGAGCATGGTGACAGATCTGCAGTGCCCAGTGCTGCAGAGCAGCGAGCTCAGGGGCAAGCTGGAGGTGGCCTGCAGTACCGGGGAGCTGTTCGACTGGCTGGGTGCTGTCTTCAGTAACGCTGACCTGTGCGTACGAGAGCCCCAGGGTCTCACAGGGCTCTGGCTTCTTGTTTTGAATAGGGGCTTAATATATATTTTGAAAGTGATCATGTGATAGATATAGATGTGTTTTCTCTCTTTTTTTGTGACAGAAATAATGAGCCTAGTAATTTCATATCAACTTATTGCTGTCCTCAGCCAAGCACACTGATGGCAAAAGCGTCTTTGTGTACGATCACTGGTTTCATACTTCCAGAGAAGATATGTCTCCTGTTGGAACAGCTGTGGTATGAACATGTTTGCCTTTTTCATCTTGCTTGTCTCTGCCAACATGACATTTTAGGAGCAGTGCTCCTATTCCAAATTTCAGCGTCCTGTCACAAACATTTCCCTTTTTATTCTAGGCTTGGGCTCACAGTATAGTAACATTATCATCTTAAATGACATAATTATCTGTCGTGATAGGAAAATTCTATTGCCATGTTCTTGTCCTTATGGAAAGACAAATAGCAGAGCTTAACTGTGCTTCTTGAAAACAAACTGTTCATTTTTCTTGTTCTGCTCCCGGGATCATTTTGGTGCCTTTTAGGTTACAGTATCACCTGAGAAAATAGCAATACTCTAGGAAAGACATGCTCTGCTTTAAATATTGGAGTTCTGCAAAATGTCTCACTTTGAAATAGGGTACAAAAAAGGAGTTGACCAATTCAAATGATGTCTAAGATCATTTCCAGCTCTGACAATTTGTGAATCACTGGGCATCAGTAATATGCCAAGGATTGTGTAAAACAGTATTTGTTTTTTGTTTGTTTGTTTGTTTTGGGGGGGAGGTATTATATAAGTAAGGGCTACATTGTCTCTGATGTCAGAAAACTCAAATTCCATACTGAAAAGTTGACAAAGTGAGCATGTCGTCTCAGTCTTCACTTTGAAAATGTATAAGATTACAGTCTTGAGGGTTTTCTTTTTTAAACCCAGAATTCTTTTTCATATTTATTTGTTTAGTACTTTGATTTTCTTCAATAAGAAGACTTAATTTTTAGAATCTGATAAATTATGCTGCAGTGTTTCAGTTAACAAAGACTTTAAAAACAGCAGTTAAAGGGAGAGAAGCTATTCTTACACACTTTTGGGGTTTTCTTGTTCTTTGAATCTTACATGATTTTCTACAATGGAGGTAGAAAAAGTTGAACTTTGTTTTGTGCATTGTATATTGATTAACCTTTATGGAATTTATAATATAGTATCAGGAATTTAATTTGCATCTCCTAATTTTTATAAATACAAATTAAGGTCTAAACTCCGTTGGAACATCAGAAATATCACTTATCCTGAATAAGTTAAAAAAAAAGTGAACATTCCTAATTCTTCCTGTTTATAAGAATTCTCTTTCTTTTTCAGCCACTACTTCAATGAGCCAAAGTTAGCTCCTTGGGTTACGTTGACGGTTCAAGGCTTTGCAGACAGTCCTGTTTCATGGAGAGAAAATGAGCATGGTTTTCAAAAAGGAGGAGAACATTTATACAACTTTGTGATTTTTAATAATCAGGACTATTGGCTTCAGATGGCTGTTGGGGCAAATGATGACTGTCCACCATAAGAATACAAAATTTATAATCATGTTTGTTTATACTTTTCAGATTTCTTAGTGGTAAAAGGACTGAGTGTTCTCTGAGACTTATATGATAATGACATATCTTAGATAAGCATCCTGTCCGGACATCCCATCCTGGACTGCAGTGAGGCCTGTCTAGCGATCAGCTCAGAGTTGTTTCTCCTTGTCGGTGTCAGCATATGACTTACTGCATGGTAGAATGAGCCAGGGATCAGGGGTTATGGAATCGTTTGGTAAGATGTATGCTTTTACTCAAGTACATGATTGCAGCTTTTTTATATGATAATAATAATAATAAGAGCCAGTCCCCGCTTCAAGTGTTGTGCATGTATTATCTCATTTAGTTTTCACATCAATCCTGTTAGGAAACAGGCAGAGTATAAATAAGCTGCTGAGGTCACGTTGCTTATGGATCGTAGGACTTGATCTCCTGTCTGCTGCTTCCTTAACTGTTCTCACTGTCCTGCCTCTGGATCAGGATGGGTATTTAAATACTGTATGTTGTTAAAGACCAAGTTGAGAGATTTTTTTTCCCAGCTGTATGGCTGGTAAGGACCAGCTGAAAACAACAAAAACCTCTGGAATATATAGCAAAAACCATTATTTAAAATGTATCAATGAGCTGCAAATAAACACTTCTAAAAGGCTAAATTACCATATTTTTTGGACCAAAAGATGCAAATGGGTTTTTGAGGAGGAAAATAGGGAAAAAAATTTTGAAGCAAAAAATGTGGTAAAATATTTAATAACAAAATTAACATAATATTTCACCAATGTAAATGTAAACAGAACTCAACAGCAGCATTAACAACCATTATTCCTTCCAAATTTGGGGGTGGGGGTAGTTCATCTTATAGTCCAAAAAATATGGGTAAAAAAAATTTTCATGGAAATAAAAACTCAAAGATGTAATTAGGGTGCTGATGCCACTTTTCACCTTTAGGATATTTGTGAAATGTCAGACCCAATTTTGCTTTTCTCAGCCTGGTGTGGGGGCAGGGGCAATAGAATAGCAAACAAAGCTGAGGGCTTGCCCAAGTGGGCATACTAATAGGAGAGCTCAGAGTTGAAACCCCAAAAGGACAGAGTAAGGATGAACCATAAATAAACCTGTCTGCCTCCCCCTCACCTCTCCTGTCCCCCAGGACAGCAAGGAAGATTGCCTTTCTGGGAGCAAACTTCTCTGAGAGGATATATGTATAGCCACAGGTAGCCCTTAGCTGGTTTATTCACACAACCTGGGTAGTCTGAAAATAATGTCTTAGGTTATAAATTTATTTTTCCACTAGAAAATAATTTCTGTTGAGATCCCACAACGGCACAAACTATTCTTGACGTTAAGCTCCTTCCTCCTTTGCAGTTCGGTCTTTACATGGTCCCATGAATGCTTTCTTCTCCCACCACCTGGAAGCAGCCAAGGGCAAACTTCAAGGTGGTGTCAGTGAACTTAAGTCCCGGTGTTTATCTGTACCTCAAACCAGAAATTTAAAGTGATGGAAAGTTTTTAGTGCTTTCCAGGTGACAGGCAAAAGCAAAACAGATTATCTTCAGAAGGACTCAGAAATAGTTAAAAGGAATGTTAGTTCATAATCACAGACAGGTAAAATAGGCAAGCAAAAGTGTTGGACAGAAGAAGCAGGCCTACAAAGACAAAATATTTAGGTTATCAAACGTGATAAAAAGTATGCTATTTTTTTAAGATTTTTTGTTTATTTTTAGAGAGAGGGGAAGGAGAAATAAGGAGAAACATTGATGTGTGAGAGAGACATCGATCAGTTGCCTCTCGCACACTACCAGCTGGGGACTTGGCCTGCAACTCACCTGACCAGGGATCACATCAGTGACCTTTTGGTTCTCAGACCAGTGCTCAACCCACTGAGCTACACCAGCCAGGGCTGTTTTATAATTAAAGAAATAAGGGGGATTGAAGATCATGTGTAAAAATAACCAAGCAGATTGGGAAAGTATTAAATGGAAATCTAGGAGTGAAAAATACTGTAATTGAAAGTTTAATGGATTGGCTTAATAGTACACTGAACACCACTGAAAAAAAGAAAATAATAGATTAGGAAATAAAGATGTTTCAAACTTGGAAAAGGTGAAGGACTTTACCAGAAGACCAGGCATTATAAGAAAAGTTAAAGGATGTTCTGCAGGCAGAAGGAAAATAATACCAGATAGGAATCTGGATCTAAGCAGGAATGAAGAACACTAGAAATAGTAACAATATGGGTAAATGTATGAGTTATTATTCAAACCTCTTTAAAATACCATTGTTTAAGCAATCATAACAATATATTGTGGACTTTATAATATACTTGTGTGTAAGAGTACAATGGATGACAATAATAGCTTAAAGACTAGAAGGGAAGAAGTATACTATAACACTTGTGAGTTTCTTGTATTATACATGAAATGATATATTATCATTGGAATGTAGACTGATAAATTTTAGATATATATTGTAAGTCCTAAAACAATCACTAAACTAACAAAACAAATCATTGTAGTTATTAAACTAACAGGTAAAATGGAATTTTAAAACGGATTAGATTAACCCAGAAAAATGACAGAAGAGGTAAAAGAATTGAAAATAGATGGGATCAATAGAAAATAAAAAGTAAATATCAAAACTCACCATATCAGTAATCACATTAAATACAGTAAACACCTCAATTAAAAGGCAGAGATTGTCAGATTGGATTAAAGGGAAAAGACCTAAGTATATTCTGCCTTCATGAAGTGTACAAATGTTAAAAGTAAAAGGATGGAAAAAGATATACCATTCTAACACTAGTAAAAACAAAAACTGGAGTGGTTATATTAACATCAAAATAGATTTCAGAGTGAAGAATATTATCAGGGATTTTAAAAAGTGATTTCATATTGGTAACATCAATGAATATAAAGTGACATAACCCTAAGTGTTTTTGCACTTAATAATGCTTCAAAACATGTACTAAAACTAATAGAACTTCAAGGGGAAATACACTAATAAATTATTAGAGATATTGATATCTCTAATTGATAGAACAAGTTGCTAGAAAATGAGCAAAGATACAGTAAACCTTAATGACAATATCAATCCATATAACCTGATTGATATTTATAGAGCATTCCACCCTACCAGAGCAGAATATGAATTTTAAGTGCACATGAAACATTTATGAAGATAGCCAATGTGGCCCATTAAAAAACTGAATAAATTCAAAAGGATTCATCATACAAAATGTTTTTGGCCACAATGGGATTAAATGAGAAAGCAGTAAAGAAAGATCCTTGAAAACCCTGTAATACTGGGGAACTAACAAGTGAAAGACCAGATTTAAAGTGTAATTAGAAATTTGACCATTGTTAATCATTAGGGAAATGTAAATCAAAACAACAATAAGACACCACCTCACACCAGTCAGAGTGGCTGGTGTCAAAAAGTAAACATGTTGGTGAGGATGCAGAGAAAAGGGATCCAATGTGTACTGTCAGTGTGACTTCAAATTGGTGTAGCCACTATGGAAAACAGTATGAAGGCTCCTCAAAAAAATTTAAAATATATACATAGATAGATTTGCCATATGACTTAGCAGTTCCACTTCTGGATATTTATCCAAAGAAGACAGACTAAGCCAAAAAATATAATGCACCTGTCTGTTCACTGCAGCATTATTTATAATACCCAAGAAAAGGAAGCAACCTCAGTGTCTGTTGATAAGTGAATAAAGATTATATATATATAATATATACACACATGAAATTATATACTACCAATATATAATATACTATATATGTATTACATATGTATATATATGTAGTGTGTCATATACTACATATATATATATCTTTTGCACAGCCATAAAAAGAAAATATTTTTTAAAGATTTTATTTTTAGAGATAGGGGGAGGGAAGGAGAAAGAGGGAGAGAAACACTGGCCTGTAACCCAGGCATGCGCCCTGACCAGGAATCAAACCTGCAGTCTTTGGGTTTACAAGCCAGCACTCAATCCATTGAGCCACACCAGCCAGGGCAAGAATGAAATCTTGACATTTGTGACAAATTAATGGACCTAGCAAGTATTATGCTAAGTGAAGTAAGTCAGACAAATACCATGTGGTGTCAGTTATATGTGGCATCTAAAAAACAAAAACAATCAGAAACAAATGTAAGGGGAGGGGTGGGGGGGGGATAGAAAAAGGTGAATGGGCCCTGGCTGGCGTAGCTCAGTGGATTGAGCACGGGCTGCAAACCAAAGTGTCCCAGGTTTGATTCCCAGTCAGGGCACATGCCTGGGTTGCAGGCCAGGTCCCCAGTGGGGGTCATGTGAAAGGCAACCGCACATTGATTCTCTCTCTTGCTCTCCCTCTCTCCCCCTCTAAAAAATAAATAAATAAAATCGTAAAAAAACAAAACTGCCATTAAAAAAAAAAAGATGAATGGGAATATAATTAATACTGTCATAAATTTTCATGGTGACAGATTTCTAGAATTAGGGAGTAATCACATTGTAAGGTATAAAAATGTCAAATCACTATATTGTACACCTAACACTAATATATGTACCAACTATACTTTAAAAAATGGAGAAGTTATTTGAAATGAATTTTAAAAACCTTGGATTTTGGGATTACTGTTAAAGCAGTACTTAGAGGTAAATTTATATCAAGTGCCTATATTAGAAAGGAAGAAAGGTCTCAACTCCATGACCTGTTTCAGCTTTAAGAAGCCTCTTCTCGTCCAGATAGTGGAGTAGTTAAATGCAGTGCTCATTTCCTCCCACAACCACGTCCACATTACAACTAAATTACAGAATAGCCAGTCTTGAGAACCACCTGAAGACTAGTTGAACAGAACTCCTGTTCAGGGATACAAAAGAGAAACCACACCAAAACTGGTGGGAGGGATGGGGATGCGGATTGAGAAAGGATAGCTCAGCAGCAGAGGTCCCACACAGAAGAGCAAGGGTTCCCATCCCCACACCAGGCTCCCCAGCCTAGACCACCAGTCCTGGGAGGAAGATCCCCACATCTTGCTGTGAAAATCCCTGGGGATTCTCTCTGGGTGAGACAAAGCTGCTGGAGTCCCAGGTATTCATAAAGGGCCTGTGCATGGACTTGCTGAAGGAATCACTCACTTTGAGCTCCAGTGCTAGTACAGCAGCTCAAAAGCACTGGGGACAATGGGGAGGAACTGAACTGTCTGGCTTCAGGACAAGGGCTGAAGGGGCAGCTCCCTCTGACTAAACTGATGGCAGGTGCTATTGTTCCTTTGCTGAGCCCTCTCCCCACTCATCCTGCAGGTGCAAGTGGGCACGAAATCTGAGTT